GATAGTGAAATCTTGTCTGATTCGTCCAAAGCACTGTTAGGGTGCGTCAGACGAGCGGGAAATCAATCCGTAACGCCGTCCCCGAACAGATTGTCAGCGCGCAAAAAATTTGAGAGTCCCATTGATAAATTATTAGCACGGAATGGCTCAGTTGTGTTAAATGATATTAGCAAAGAAAAAATAGTGAAAAACTTAGCTGTAAGTCCAAACACTAAATTAAATAACGATATAAATGAAAGTAAACCTACACTTTCAAGAAATAATGAGACATTTATTGGTGTTCATTGCGAAAATAATAATAATAATTCGCCTGATTTGGTAAATCTGCCCCAAAAGCAAATAAACAATTTCGTTAATTGCTTAATAACTGAAAGCAATGAAGAGTATAATGAACAAGAAACAACACATATCGCTGATTTAATAAAAAGGGAATCCGCAAGTGCTGTAAATAATGCAGAATCAGATATTGCTAACTCGTCCAAATGTGGAAGTTGTGAGGTTGGCGAAGATAATTTTGAAACCTCTACAACAGATCTTCATTCTCTGCACAATTTCATTACTCCAACAGCAGAAGTAAAAATCGAAAATAATAGTTTTGATAAAACCACGGAGTGCAAACTGGAGATCGTTGAAAGTCCCATTGACGATGCAGAGGCAGAGTTACGGTACGATTTAGAGGGAGGAGAGAGTGGCGAATCCATGATATTAAGCAACGTTGTTGGTTTAAGTGCAAAATCACCTTCAGCAACCAGTTTAGATAGCGCTAAAGGTTCTTCTGTGGTAACGGGAATGGATTGGATGACATTTTCAACAGGAGATATCTTTTGGGGACAAATATATTCTTACTGCTATTGGCCTTGCATTGTATGTCCGGATCCCGATGGTAGGACGTTATCATCTGAACGCAATGTGCGTAATGGCGAAGAATATGTATTAGTTCATGTACGCTTCTTTGCTGATAGCGGTCGGAGGAATTGGGTAAAACGTGAAAACCTCATCCCATATACCGATCTAGAAAATTACAAGCAACATATGCGTGAAATACGAAAAAAATATGGCAAGAAGAGTCTAAAATATAAGGTACTTTTACCAAAGCCAAGTAAAGTAATGATCTGGCGTGAAGCAATAAAAGAAGCAAATAAAGTCTCTGAAATCGTATACGAGGACAGGTTAACGAAGTTTTTTGAAATTTACGAGCATAAAAAGTAAGTGAAATTGAAATTACTTAGCAACATTATTTTATTTTTTCTCTTATTGACAACTAATAATAATTTTTAGTTAATATTGCTAATAAAAGATACATTCATAAATACACATATTTGTAAACATTTAAAATTTTTGTATTTTTTTTTAATAAATAATATTTTTTTAGAGTCTTGCAAAAAATACAAAGAAAACAACGAAAATTGAGCACGGACAACAATAGTAGAACTGAAAGTTTAAGTCACGATCCTATGGAAAGTTTGATAGTAAAAAATCCTTTGGCTTCGGGAAAACGCGATCGTTCAGTTTCGCCTTACAGTCCCGCCTATTCACCGCTAAAACCAGTATCGAAAACAAAGCGACGAAAATTAAGTGATGCTTCTACACATCCGCAGCAAAAAAAAGAGAACTCAGATGGAGATAATAACGAGACTAATGAAAGCTCTAATAATAATGCCGGTACTGTTGAAGAAAACGAAACTACCACTTTGGCTTCGTTTGCTGCGTTGCATGAAATGGAAATGGGTAACAGCGAATATAGGAATTTTTACAACGCTATGAGAGAATTCGTATTGGAAGATAATATAGACGAATCTTTGGAAAGAAGCTTAATGGTTGCATCACGGAACATTTGGGCTTTAAAGCAGATTAATATACATCAAATAAAACGGCGATTGCTGGCAGGAAGTAATGAGCATGAGCTTGGCTCTAGTCTTGTTGAAAATAGTAGTAGAGAAGGTGCTGTCAAGCGGCTATCGAACAGATTAAAAACTTTGAAACATCGTCATAGTTTACCTACCAAAATCAATAATGTATTCGAATTGGAACCGCAAGAGAAACAACAAGAAGAGGAAGGGGAAGTTCAAGCAGTTGATAACAAACCCAAACGTCAATTGAACCGACCTATTGAAGAAGTTATCGATGATATTTTCAACTTAGATAACAAGTATTTATTTCGAGGATTAGCGCGTGATCCTGTTTGTAAGTACTGTCTTCATCCCGGTGGTCCATTGGTCAGATGTGCCAAAGGTTGCCAGACTTGGTTGCATGCTAATTGTATTGGAAAAGATCCAACAGATTTAAAAAAATCGCGTGGTCGTCGAAAATCAAATATTATAAATGTAAGGCGGAGTTCTTCTAAATTATCCGTTGATATGAAAGCGTCATTTGAAAATCCAATAGCTCAATTAAATAATGACCAGGAAATTGCTGGCACCTCGTCATCATTAAACAATTACCATGTTACTGCTGACGGAGATGTTGATGATCTCATCATTAAAGTAAATCTGGAAGTAATTTGCGATTCCTGTGCGATAGGAAAGCCTCCTGTTTGTGCTGTATGCAAGGAAGACAATTCATCAGATTCAAACAAGGAAGAATTAATTTTATGTAACATGCCTCATTGTTCGAAAGCTTTCCATCCTGCTTGTTGTAGATATTGGCCACAAGCAAAGTTTACCAAATCGAAAAATAAGATTGAATCTTTTCGCTGCCCATCACATGTTTGTCATACTTGTGTTTCAGACGATCCCAAAGGAAAATTTCAACATTTAAGTAACTCGAAACTTATAAAATGTGTGAAATGTCCTGCTAGTTATCATATGGATTCGACTTGCATACCTGCCGGTTCTCAAATACTGACAGCGGCGCATATAATATGCCCTCGCCATAGTATATCAAGTAAATCAGATGGGCACGTGAACGTCAGTTGGTGTTTCATTTGCGTAGGAGGCGGTCAGGTAATCTGTTGTGAAACTTGTCCAACCGCTGTACACGCCAAATGTTTAAATATCCCCCTTGATCCAAGTGAAGGTTACATATGTGAGGAGTGTGAGTCTGGTCGTCTGCCATTGTATGGGGAAATGGTATGGGCTAAATTCAATTCGTTCCGATGGTGGCCGGCTATAATACTGCCACCAACCGAAATACCACAAAATATCAGACGAAAGGCACATAACCCAAATGATTTTGTAGTTCGTTTCTTTGGAACACATGACCATGGTTGGATCTCTAGGCGTCGCGTTTATCTTTATTTGGAGGGTGACAGTTCGGAACCGCCGAAAACAAAATCAAGTAAAATTCTTTTAATTTCACATTAGATTAAAATAATATTTTTATAACTCGTATTTTAGGTTTGGATCAGAGTTATAATCGCGGCGTTGAGGAAGCAAAACGTATATATGAAATTATAAAATCGAAGAAGATGGCACAACGCCTTTCCAATGAAAATAAAGAGAAGTTACATCCACAACCATATGTGCGGATTAAAGCTAATCGGGCCGTTCATCCGGTAAAACTGCACATAGATTTGGAAAAGGTCAATAAATGTGAATGCAGAAGTTACGATGAGAATCCATGTGGGCCGAATTCAAATTGTTTGAATCGTGTTCTATATCATGAGTGCAATCCAAAGCTGTGTCCAGCGGGCGAACGTTGTCAAAACCAAATGTTCGAATCAAGACTATCACCACGGCTAGATGTTGTCTATCTAAAGGAGCGTGGTTTCGGACTGGTGTGTAGAGAACCCATAAATGCGGGAGATTTTATTATTGAGTACGTTGGTGAAATCATTGATGATAATGAGTTTAAACAACGGATATCTCAAAAGTCTTTGGATCGTGATGAAAATTTCTATTTTCTGTCAGTGGAGAAGGACTACATTATTGATGCGGGTCCGAAGGGGAATTTGGCACGCTTCATGAATCATTCCTGTGACCCGAATTGTGAGACACAAAAATGGTCAGTAAATGGTCTGAATCGAATAGGACTTTTTGCTATTAAAGACATACCAGCGGTAAGAAAATTATAATATAACTATATATATTGACATACAAACGTTAAGCAATGTCAACATTATAGGACACGGAACTAACATTTAATTATCATTGGGATGATTTGTTAGGAAATCAGAAAAAGTTATGCTTATGTGGAGCAGTTAAATGTGTTGGTGAAATAGGTGGCAAAAACAGAGAAGAAAAGGTTTCTAAAGTAGGTTTTCCTTTAGACGATATAATTTTAAATTTAATAATATTTTGATATTGCTAGGAGAACACCGCAGTCGAAACAAACAAAGTTAAGGCCGGTTCCACACGGAAGAGAAAACCTTTAAAAAGGCTTCAAAACCGTTCCAGGGAAGCAAATGGGAAAAAATCAAGCAAAAAGCGTGCTAATACAACAGTGAAGACTCCAGTAAGGATTGAGGAACCAGCAGATGACCATAATAATGAGAACACATAACACCAGAACAGTGATAACTCCATTAATATTGCTGCCAAAATTAATGAGGACGACAATACAACAAATATATTTTGATATTAATTTTATATCCCTTCGCAAATCGTTTCATGCATGTATAGAGATAATTTAACAAAATTCTGTTTATAACGTGAGTAAAATTATTGTTAAAAATTGTTTTTATAATCAAATTATGTAGTTTAAATGTTGGATAGTTCGAAAATTTATTTGCAGATCCAAATAACAACATAAACTTAAAAAATTCCTCCAGTACGCAACTTTCAGTAGAAGACACTATTTAATATAATTACATAAGTCGTTGTTTTTATGCACTCATGTGGTGTTAGAAGTAATAAAAATAAATAAATGTAATTGAAATGCGCACATTCACCGTGATATCTCTATCTCCATAGACAAAGAGTCTGAAAATGTTTATTGTCAATAATTTGGTCTACTGCTTGAGCAAATTTTCTCCCATGACAATATAAAAATGTCTAAAATCTTTAAATCATACCTATATTTATAAATTATGTGTTAGAAATGTTGTAAAAAAATTTATTTTCACTTTTTTTTTACAAGATCTTAGTCTAAAGTAATTTTATTACAAAAAAAAAAAAAATGAGTTATGTCACAAAGTCTACATTTATGCGTAGTCCCTTTATATATCGGAACTAAAGCTTAATATCGTTTCCTCTACTTTTAATATACATGTAAATGAATGAAATGTCCACCTGACAGTGTGGTTCTTTTAACGATAATATCGTTATGATAATTTAAACTATTTCAAATAGTTAAATGATTTTCACTTTTTAAGCTAAGTTACTCAGTCGATAAATTCATTGCTTTTGTTATTCTTTTGGATTTAAAATGTTCCAACAAGTATGAGAAATCGATGGACGACGGGGTTTTTTCAATTGGGGAATAAACTCCATTATATTTGGCAATACGTTGTTGTTTTATGCTGAAGGATGCAGGTAACCGGCTTTTGGCGGAACTATTTTGGCTATTCTTCCAATAATAGTCTTTACAGATTCTTTCGATGTTTCATAAAGCGTTCCAAGCGTTAACAGGCGCAAACCATGATCATTCGAAATTTCTAACACTGACCATTTTTCTAGCAGTTTCAAGCAATTTCGCACAGAGTCTGTGGATACGCTTTCAGCTTAAAAGAGAAATGTACATTTCAAAAAAAATTTTACGTAAAGCTTTATAACACTTACCATATGGACAAGCTCCACTATTCACCTTATTTGATATGCTGTTAATAACGAACTTGATGAATTCAGTTTCGAGCATTGAATTTTTATACAGAATACTAAGTGATTGAGCTACGGAGAGATATGTATGACTAACCGGCGCTAAAACTTCACAAAGCGCTTTCTGTTCAGTCAGTGTGTCATTTGCCAAAAATATATCGGGCTGTTCATCTTGATTATCCCCATCCGGCACATAATCGATATATTCAGAGTCATCTGCATCCTCTAAGTATGCCGCAATACTACGGGCAATTTTACGGCTTTCGGCGTTGCTATCAGGTTCTTCTCTAACCTAAAAAAACAAGGCTAATTACAATTCAAGAAACATTTTACAAAACCCACCTCTGGTAACTTTATAAGATCGTTGACTATTAGTTCATCCAAATTAATTTCCAAAAGGTTACTTAATATCTGGGTTGGCTTGTGTAAAATAAATTCGTATCGTAGTACATCACAGTTTGCTAAAGCTGCATCAACGAGATTTTTTCTCGAAATTCCTGGTATATTTTCCGTTTCGGTATCCTATAATGACAAATATAAAAACAAAACAATAATCTTTAAGTTTTTTTGAGATCAAACGTGAACTTGCCGTTTTATTGGACTTTCCTTTTAATGACAACAATTCGTGGAAGGTTATCATTAATACGGATTGCAAAGCAAAATGTGGTGTAAGCGTATTTGAATAGTAGGATAACTCAATTGACGCCTCAATACTTTGCACAGGTTGTAAGTGAGTCTGTCCGCATTCATCCTTAGTACGCGTTATTAAACCTAAGTTATCAATGACATTGTTTATTATGCAAATGAAAAAGTCACGTTTATTACCTTCGCCTAATAAATCTGCAGAATAATTGACAATATGTAAAGAATCTCCCGCGAATGCCATATCTTTGCGCCCTTTTATCCGATTACGAAGTGAATCTAGTGCCAACGCGATATCAGTGGCTAGTGCGCCTTTGCGAAACTGAGTCAACATTAGAAATGCCAGCGCGTTTGTAGACATTACAGATGTGGCGGTAGCGCAATCATATACAACTTCTCTTGAAATGCTATCTATAAGTGTGCGATGTTCTTCGCATACCACGTCAGTGCCATATAAAGATGAGGTTGATTGGTTGTGCTGTAGTTTCCTGTGAATGAATTCGCACATCAATAATTTTAATAATAGAATTTATAACAATTTTTAACCTACCTTTCGGAAGGCTTGTATACTTTGAAATGGCTATCATCTGTGGCAACTTTGTTATATGATTGGACGAGTTCTTTTATGGAGTATGGTTCGTTAAAATCGATGCGCATAAGACCGTACTTTGAGTGCAAAGTCTGTAATATTTTAAATTCGTAAATATCCAATATATACTGGAATTTCTTAAAGCACAAACCTTCCAAATTCCTGCCATAGCTTTCCAGAATGACTCCGGTACCTTTTTCTCACCTTTTTGTTCACATACAAAATTTCCATCAACTAGACGCTCATAATTAACCGAAACCGGAACTAGTAAGGCATCTGGGATGCTATGGTCCATAAAGGCATTTACAATTACTGATAAAATACCACCTTTTGGCATACAGGGCTTGCCGGTGCGGGTGCGTCCGCCTTCAATAAAAAATTCAACATTATGGGACATTTTTAGCGCATGTTGAATGTATTGCTGAAGAATAGCTCTGTAAAGAATGTCTTTTTTTCCAACTACAGGATCGATTTTTCGCTTAATGAAGAAAGCTCCAAGGCCACGTAGAAGTCCGCCGAATACGGGAATTTGTAAATTGTCGCCTGCAGCTACTAATGGACTGCGAATGTCATTATTGGTCAAAATAAAAGTAACCATTATGTAGTCGAGATGGCTTCGATGCAATGGTAAAAATATTAAAGGAATACCAGGTGCACGTTCTGAAGCTTTTTTTAATGTTTCTATTTGTCTTGTGTGCGTTACTACTCCAGATAAAAAGCATGGTAAAAGCTTGTACAATAACCAGGAAGTAAGCATTATTAAGTAGTGGTTCAGCGTGGAACGCATATTCATTAAAATATTATTAGCACGTCGTTCTTGATTTGACAAAATGTCTTGGTACTTCTTTGACTCTTCTGTGTCGTTTGATGTATCACCAATTAAATTACATGTTTTGTGTGATTCAATTCTCTGTTCACGTACGATTTGTTCTGCAGCTTGCTTGATAGCACGTTGTATCATTAGATCTTCTTGTGTAGGACCAGATACCTGAAAAGCAGAAATTACAGATGATTATTTTATATATGATGAATACGAGAAATGCAACCACCTGTGGATATTCAAAACGTTTTATGCGCAAACATTGCGCTAGAAACGGGAAGTAAACACCCCAGTCAAACATTGATTGGTATGGCTTTTTACCGGCATGAGGTGTTAACTGCAACATATTGTTTGTGCCTTGTGCATGTGTGAGCGCATTGGCCTGTTTTGTTTCCTAAAAATACAATATTTTTTAAATTTATTATGACGTAACAAATAACAATTTGTAACATATAAGGCTAGTTATGTATGTTTATATAAAATTAACGCCGGCATATCATCCCACCTCAAACCAACCACGCGCGCGGAATTCATCGTCGTACATGATATACTCAAAACTGTCAGCAAAAATTGCAGGACTTAAATAACAATAGCTATTATTAGCATTCAGTTTTGGAATTTATGCTAATATTTTTACTAAACAACACAATTAATTTGCACTGCAACTGTAGTTTTACTTTAATCCGCTACATGGAGCACTAGCCAACAAAAAATATGCAATGCAAACATCAATTGGCATAATAAGTAATGTTGCCAGATTAGAAACTATAAATAATTAGTTGCAAATTTCACGTAACGCTCTCTTGTATAAATTGTAATATTAGTTTTTATGTGATTTAATTGGTTATTATTATTTTTTTAATTTAAAATAAAAAAGTGATTCTCTATACATGCATCAGTCAAACCAACATAATGTAGTAGTTGCCATTTATTTAAAAATTCTGAAAAAGCTCATTAAATTTTACGCATCTGGGCTGTTTTTAAATTTTCGAAAGATATGAACAAATTAAATGTTATATTCGCAATTTGTATATGTTTAACCTAACTATACATTATATTGTATTTTTAGTTAATAATGTTTATTACGATTGACTTCATTCTATGATTCAATGAAATACAGTTTGTAATATAAGAATTAGAATTTATGCTTTTGTGTACTTAAAGCAGTACTTGGATCTTAAAAATGTACAAGCCTAATATTTTCAATCCAATAAAATATTTGAGACGAATAAAGTATAAAAATATTATTATTATACAATAAATACATATGTATATAATTTGGTAAATATGACTTTTTCAAAAATAATCTTTATATAAATACTTATGTACAATATATGGAGATGGTTATAAATAAAAATATCTAATAATATGCCCCTTATTTTTTACATTTTCCAGAAGCAATTAATGCCTTCAAGTACAATCTGTCTAGTACAGTTAAAACGACCTCTATGCTATAGAAAAGTCAAGTAAATTATTATATTGCATTGGATCACGCTTTGTCTATGGGTAACTATGACTCTTCTTTCCGCTATCAATTAATCTGAACGTATAAAATTATTTAAAAAAAACATGAAACATTCAAAAATATTTGTTTGTATTAATATAAGCGCGTGCAAAAATTAACACTAGTATAATCATAATAAAAATGCTTTGCTGTTTTTTCATAATTATTCATATTTTTAATTTGACGTTACATCTAACATTCGGAATAAAATAATGAAATATTTTGGAACATGAAATCTGTTAGTATCACTTTATATTTATTTCAAAATCATGTATTTTGCTTAAAAATCGGAAAAAAACTAAAACATGTTTTGTTTATCGAAACACACGTTCGTATATTGTATATGTATGTATATGCATATGCAAGTAATATTGAATAATATATGTAATTATATGCACTGTGTATTAATTGGGCATTTGTTTGTTGAAAAAATGATGTTTTTAAATATATATTAATGGAAAAGTGCGGCGTTTAGAAATCGTTTTTAATCAGTTCTTAATAAATTAAAATACATCGCTTACCGGTTGAACATTTCTACGCAGTGTTGTTAACATTTCATTGCCCATGGTGTTGAACTTTACAATTGTTGGCCGATAATTGATATTCAATTTCAAATGAGGAAATAGATTGGTTAAGATTTCCAGCGTTCTGTAACAAATATATACAAAAGTATCTTAGTATAAAGTAATTTATTAAGAGAATTTAATCGATTGATAGAAGCATATTTTAAATAAATAGTTATGTACAATTAATTAAATATATAATTTACATCCGAATGATATTTAAATTCTATATATTGTGTGTGCATATGTATGTATATATGTATGTATGTATATACTCTTAATACATCAAGTACATAGTAATACGTATTAAGTTATCAATCAAATTGGGAAACCGTACAAGCACTCATAGCAATGAGGGTCCTAAGTTCAACTTCGGGAAACATATAGATTATAAATTAATGAGTTGCTCTTTATAATTCAATAGTTACTGTATAATTCATACATTTGAAGATTAACACAAGTATTTATGCGTTTATAAAAAGGTGTTAATCGATTTATAATATACTCAAAAGCGAGAAAGTATTTATGTACATATGTATGCAATTAGTTAATAACACTTCATATAAAGCCGCCTATAAAGGTTTCATTATCCTTTTAAGAGTATAAGTACGCATTTTGTTAAAATTATGTCGCCAAGAGTAAACATATAAAACACTAAATAGACAAATTTAAATACGTATTTATGTACATATGTAAAATTATACCTTAGCACAGCACATATTTAGTTAGTTTAACCTATCAGGACTCCATAACCAGTGGCATCAAATAAATTTAAATTATTAAACGGTGAAATTTATGTATGGATTTACATAGTTGTATATATATAAGAACATATCAAAATGTGTGAATATGTTTATTATATAACGCATATACACATGTATGTATGAAAATGGTACTTTTATATAGAATTTTTATATAATAATATAAAAGGGGATAATTTTTTCGTATCACATTACTTAAATTTGTCATGTATTTTTATTTTAAAATATCTGACAATTTGCCTACAACATTTTATATTTTTATTTACTTACATACATCTATGCAAATGTGAATAAATATAAGAATTTATCGAATAAATTAATTCGAAATTAATGAGAAGAAATTTAAATAGTCTAATTAGTGATATTATCCATTGTTGATTGTCATTATTTTTTAAGTAATAGCTTTAAATATCGGATTGGTGTAAACAATATGCAAACAATTTATAATCTACCTAAAATCACCATTTTTATAAAAATAAATTAGTAATTAAATACGTTAAGTAAGTGCATTACTTCTGTTTTTTTTTTCGAGGAGCTCCAAGATAACATTTATTAATTAATTTTTTTTTTAGGCGAAACAGAATAAATTACCTACGTCTTTTCTACCAAATTTTTGTCACACCTGCACATATTATGAAATAAAAAAAGATAGAATTACTGTGTTTCGTACGCCGTTAAATCTCTTCACCTTCAAATTTAATTCAAAAGATCGTTTTGCTAATATAAAACTGTCATAAGTTGCGATTCATTATTCAGATGCTACAGTCGTAGTGGACATTGTTTATGTTTTTATGCATTTTTTTTATTGTCGGTTAATTACTGTAAAAAAATAATTTGAATTCAAAGGTTAAAACAAAGATTTAAAAAATATTTATATCAAATGTATGTTTTTAAATTGTTCTCAAATATAAGTTTCTGAAACGGATGTACATTATCCTATGACTACTTTAAGGTGTCGTACCGTTACTACATAGATAAATGCATGTGCATATTTTACTGCGCTTGCATATGTATACATACGTTACTCAAATAAGCAAGGAGAGTAAAATACTGACAAAATATAGTTGCAAACTAAAATTGAAAAAAACTATAAAATTGTATTATACGTTACTGTATACATACGTTACTCAAATAAGCAAGGAGAGTAAAATACTGACAAAATATAGTTGCAAACTAAAATTGAAAAAAACTATAAAATTGTATTAAATATGTGGTATTTGCATAGCTATAAATCCATGCATATTCGGTATTTACTTATACTACGAGTTTACGAATTCATCAACTGCCCCAACTACTAACTGCGCCGGTAGACTAGTAAACAAAAACCGATATTGAACTTGACGTGACACAACGCTCAAGTTGATGAAATTACCTTGTTTTTGCGTAGATATAGTAAACGATGAGAACCACTGATGCCAACTCAACACAACCGATGGTAGACATCTCCACAGCACCTTGCACAAAGTTCAGCAATGAAGCTAACATTTTGGTTAACTAATTACGTTTTTGTTTTTAGTAGTACTCGTTTCTATGTTTTAATGCTATATATATTAATGCTTTATAATATTTCACATATGTAAGTAAATGCGAACACATATGTCACAATAGTGTTGTGTTTAATTACTTTTATTATTTTTGTTCTTTTTTGATAGCAAAATCACACGATCGCTCTAATTAAACACATACGTATATATTTTTACATATGTATATACAGTATGTATGTATAAACAATAACAAAAGCGATCACATTTAACAATTGAATGTCTTTAGCTACTGCGCCGCCATACTCTATCTCATTGATAAGGCCAACGGCTGCTGCTAAGCGGGCGACGTATGATCTGTGACGTATTGTGTTGGTGGCTGCTGGCTGCTGGAAAAATATCATACGAGGGATTCACTTGTGCGCTGTAGATTATAAGGAGACATGTACCGTATGCAACATGCATGTATTAATTGACTATCCGTCAGTTAATCAGACAATCGAATTACGCGTCCACTAATCTTCACGTAAATCGTTACAAATGTGCATCATTCTGATTACCCTGATATTATACTCGTAGTGATGCCCGCTATACTATCGATAATATGTAATGAAATTAACTATGTTGCGGTGTGAATATAAGCAACTAAATGCTATCCACAAATAAGAAGAGTAGCTATTATTTCTGCAACTGTCCACACCGGCGAAGTGTTGACGACTGTTATTATGGTGAAACTGTCGCTCGATGTTCAGTATTTTTGTATTTTAATTAAATCTCAATTGGCGCACGGCCGACCTTTTCTCGGTTTTCTCAGGCGAATGGGAGCGTAAGCTTTGCACTCAGTTCTAATCACTAGCGAAATATTGGGAGAACTGCGCAAAGCATAAGACAGCATGATAACAAACAATGGGCCTATTGCCCTTGGGTTCGAATAATTTAAATTTACAAACTAATGTGGATCGAAACATATGACTTATTGTGGGTATAATTAAATTATAGAAATTTTTCTTATTTGGGAATTAATTATAAACATAACAATGACTATATATTTAGGAACGATTTTTTTGTTTTACAAAAAAATTAAAAAAGTATAAAAGCTTAAGGAGCAGAACGAAGAAAAGTTTCATAAATATTATATATTTAATTTATATTATAATTAATAGTTTAAAAGCTCGCATATTTAAATATGTGTATATGCTACACCTGAGTACATATGTATATATCATTATTGAATCTGATTGACTTCTCGAATCATATAATTTAATTTAAAGGGTTTCTACCATTCACACATGCCTAAAAATCGAAAATAAATAGGTATACAAAAATTTTATTACGGAGTTTTTTGTTGTTCTTGTAGCGGTAGAATTCTGCAGAGTTGAGAGTCCTTGGCCGGATAAAAATCCGGGTTCGTTCCGGTTACATAGACCCGAGTGTTGTGAGCAAGGACGGAGCATTTTAAAACTGAAATATCATTCAGTGACTGTGTCTTTTAATATTTTATTGTTTCTGTTTTCCAATTCGAGTCGAATTGAGGCATGATTTTGTTATTTTTGAACTTACTCGTAACACTAGTAAAGTTTGACCAAAAGCTATTTGACGCTCTAAGACCACCCGCAACCTCTTAGTGGTAATGAAAAGATCACATAAATTTCATCACTAAAAAATAGCGCACGGTTTTTTTTCACAAAATTCCTGTGGTATATTATCTTAAATAATAACATTAGTCGTGTTTTTTATAAAGTATTTTATATTATGAATAGAACTCTTGTAACTACTCTTCAATTACATATTAAGAAAAGCATAATAATCGAACTCCACCCATTTTACTTCTTAGCTGGGGCTGGTTTTTTCGCAGTAGCCTTCTTGGTGGCCGCCTTCTTCTTACGTTCAGCTAAAATTTTCTGCAACATTTTTGTGCGGTTAGCTTGCGCCTTGGTGGCCACAGCAGCAAAGTGCGATTTCGCCAATTCTACGTTCCTCTTCTTAGCGACTGCCAGAGATTTAGCAATAGTACGCTTCTCAGCAGCTAACGCAGCACGACGTCTCAATACCTCAGCGTAAGGATTCAATTTGATCAGTTGGCGAACGTTAGACAATGGATTCAGACGGCGGACGCGACGGAACACCTTCTTACGTGGATCACGTAATACTTTACGGATTTCTTCGGATTTCAGTAAACGTGACAAATCGGTGTTGGCCATTTTAGGTTGGGGCAAATTGTAACCTTTCTTCAAAGCTGATGGTGTCTTCCACGAGCCAAATAATTCGTTCAAACGAGCGAACGCAGATTCAGTCCAGATGACGAAACGTCCTACGTGACCACCTGGCGCAAGTTTCAACAAATTCATTTTGTCAACGTTCATTGTTTCAATGCCAGGTATGTTACGGAAAGCACGACGCAGACCTTCATCCTTGTAGTAAACAATCAAAGGACCACGGCGAGCGATACGGCGACGATCGCGCATTGTACCACGACCAGCACGGAAACGTTGCGACTTGTACACCTATGGTTTAAATATAAAACAATTTGCGTTACAATCTGGACAACTATTGTATATTTTGTATAAATATATTCAATTATTGCATATTTTGTACTTTTCAAATACCCCAATTGAAAAGTATTGAAACTTCTCACTGGAACGCCTATGAAAAATTTTACTATAGCAGTACTAATTTCAATTTGATTCCAACATTAACAAACTATATAACTTTGTTTGCATCTGCACGGAATACTGCCAAATTAACCAGAAGGTATGTAACTCACCTTTTGAATGTCAGCCCAAATTTTCGTACGTCTTAGGAACACTACAGCTTGCTTGGTTTTTTGTAGTTTCTGCACATCATCAGACACCACCAATGGGAATTCCGATACACCATCAATAATATGGCCCTTGGATTGAACTAGGGCTGGAACACCAGATGCAGCTATAGCCGAAACGAGAGCGTAACGGCGCTGGTTGACATTTACCTTGCGGTGCCAGCGGCGGAAGGTTTTGGTTGGAGCAAACATACGTCCACCACGACACATGTTACCGAAAGCACCCTGACCGGAACGGTGGGTACCACCTCCGCGAACACGGGGAATACGAGCGACGGCACGACCAGTACCCCAAGATTCAGCAGACGTTTGGTGACCTAAAAACAATTTTTATGGGTTATTATATTTACTTTATATACTAGTCAACAATTCTTTACACACCTGCTTGCTCGCTAACGGCATAGGGTTGACGATTGTTGCGACGAACTAGCTGGTGCACTTCGTTAACAATATCCGGACGAATGGGGGCTTTGAACACTGCAGGCAAGCAGATGTTCTTATCCTTAAGCTGTTCATTTTTGTCTGAATAGACAGATACCAAAGGTCTAGCGTTGGCTAAACTCTAAAAGTAAAAAATTAAAATAAAATAAATAAAAACCAAAGCACAGTCAATTATTTTCCATTTCTCCATTAATTTTCTGCCAGCTATGAGCGGCGTTGTAATGCCACTTAACACGTGTACGATACTTTCCGTATGAAGTTTTGTATATTATTTCCGTGTTTTAAGAGTTTTGTAGCAGCTAATCACTGGTAAATTACAGAGCTCACTTTTTCCAAGAAAAACTCACCATTTTTGCTTCCTAATTGTTAAAAAATACGCGTAAAATCCCGCTGTAATAGCAGAAAACGTCCTCCACCAAACAATAGGGGACAGAAAAAGACAGCATTTGGGCGGAAGCCCAACATGGCGGATAATTTCTGTACATTCGAACTTGTAGATGTCGCTACTTAATGTGAACTAAATTGACAGCTGCAGAGAGCGTAGTGTGAATGGTGACCTCTGCATTCAAAGTTTATTGCAATATTTATAATATTTACGTAAAACATAATATAAACTATTATGTATGCAAAATCAACCAGAAAATAATAACAATTATATTGATTACTCATTGCTTATTAATTGATGTCTGCAATATAAATATGTAATTTTATTACTACTCTCAAATTTCTGGTCAGAGCATCGTAATGTTAGCCCTTGGTCGGACAAAATCCAAGTCAATCGTAGGAGTAATTTTAACGCATATATTCCAAAAGTAGCCCCCTACATTCCCTAAATGGACTGAATAATAAACACGGAACATTCCTCCAAAATGTATTGTTGAAAAAATAAATTCTTTATGCTTCAATTTTTGTAATTTATTTCAGCGCGTTTTGTACAATAGTAATATATGTATTAACAAGCATTGTGTAATCAAAAACATACTTAGACATACGTATATATACATATATATATATATATATATATATTTTTTTTTTTATATATATATAAGGTATAATTATGTGAATACATGGAATTAATTATGTTACCGCAATATTTTATATAATATTAAGTGATGCAGAAATGTGCATGTGTAATTAATGCACAATTAATTAAATATTGCATACTTGCACAAAGGCGCCCGATTAGCTAAGCCAAGCGGTAAATCAATTGATAAATGGCACACTCGAATGGAATTGGATTAGATTAATTAAATATGTTAAGTGAATTTGGCATATGGTAGGCTAGAATAATAGGAAACATAACTTAATTGTATTGTATTTTTTGTTGTGAACATAATAATTTTATTATTCTAAAGAGTAGTCTCAGGCACGATATCTTGTATTTGTAGTTGTGACTCATACGATTGTGATAGTTCCTCTGAGTTTTTTGATTTTAAAAGTTGAGGCTGCTGTGCTTTAGCATTATAAGTGAAACTTTCTCGACCAATACAATTATCATTGGCAATACATTTTTCTCCAATAAATTTCTTGTCCGCGCCAAATGACATTTCCACAATTCTCTGTTCTAATCTGCGCACGCGTGCTTGATATCTGCGCTTGTTTTGCTCCAAGAGTTGTGTTAGGTTTCTTAGAAATATTGCAAACAATATTAATATGCATAAAGTTTTTAAAAAATTCAAGAAAATCTTACAAATTTGATTTTTGCAAATCCTGAATATTATTCTGTAACTGGACGTGTCTTTCATCTGTATTAAGTTGCGAAGCTGTAACAGATGCAATTAACGTTTGTATGCGACTTTTAAGCTCAGATTCGCGTGTCAATGCCTCTATCAATTGTTGTTCTGTAAGTGCGACATGCTCTGACTCGGAATACGATACTCTATTTTCTGCCATCTGTTCACGATGGAAAAGTGCGCTACTCGCATCTGTTGTAATTTGAAGTTGCAATTGCAATTGAAGTTGCAATTGCTGCAAAGCTTCTTCAAGCGAGCTATTGCGTTCGTTGGCAATACGATTTTCTGCTTCCGTTGATTCTATCCTTGATTTCAATGTGATATTTTCCTCTCGCAAATTCAATAATTCTTGCATCATTACAGCCGTTTCGAGATCAAATTGTGTGTTACTAACTTTTTCCACCATTCCTCTACTACTTTCGATGGCTACGAGCGATTTCTCATACAAGTCGCTAAACGGTGACTCCAAATTGACTATAGTATTTTGTACAGTTGAACGGCGTCCTTTCAATTTGGAAACGTGGTACCGTAATCGGTTGTCATCGTCTGTAGTCCATGGTATGCATACTTTATCCGGAATACTAAATCTAAAATTGAAAATATATAATTATTTAAATCAAATGAACCTTTTGTGAGTTTTGAAATTACGTTGACTGCCAGGGCCCCAAACTATTTTCACAAATGTTTTTTTCACTTTCTAAGCGATCTAATAGGTGTCGTGCCACTGTCTCTACAGCTCTTCTACT